TGAATCATTCATTCCATTTGCTATATTGTTGATTTTGTGTTATGGTGTAAGACATTATGTTAGGGTTAGTATGCTTTCGGGTTTTAGGTAAAACTACATGCATCCTATGGAGCTGTCATTACTATTTTGCTGCATTTTTTTGAAAAAAAAAATTATATGGCACATGTATATGGTCAGTTGATTTTTTCTGTAATGTGCATCTGTACATGTACGTTTGGCCATACCTTGATTTGTTCAGAAAAATGTAATTGACTATAAGTTTTTTTTTTTTATTGTCGGAACTGGGTTGTTATTTACTTATTTATTTATTACTTTTTTTTTGTGTGTTTATTCTGTTGATGCAGGTAATTGTGCATATGCTACCACACCCGATAGACCGCTTATCGCATGGAAAGTTATTTGTCGTTTTGTTAGGGTGCCATTGTACTAGTTTTTCTTTGTTTTTTATATGTACTTATATCGTGAACATTTGTTGTCTGTTGGTGTCTCTAATGATTGAAAAAAATAAAAAATAAAAATTGGCAGCAACCCGACGTCGTTCAGGATCGCCTATAGTTCAACAAATTGGTACATCTGTGAAGGGAGATTGTGTTCAAGAAGGTGATCTTAATACGATTAAATTGCCTGGACGTTGTAATTAATTCTTGAAATGTGATATGAATGTTGGTTTTTTTGTTTTATTTTATTTTATTTTTTGGTATAGGTCCAGCTGGTAAGAGGCCAATGGATGCTACAATGAGAGATGGTGCCCGTGTTAAGCGTGCGAAATCATGTGCACGTAAAGTAAGCCAGCGTGATAGTGATGATTTCGTTGATGATGTCCCGCACACGCGTATGGCTGAAATTACTAATAATCGCGATGGTATATGCAATCAATTACGTATGACTGTTTGTATATACACATATATGTATATGTGTGTCTATATTGCTCGTGTCATGTTTTGACGAATTTCATATTTGTTTTTCAGTTAAGGGCAAGAAAGTGATTGCTGCTAGTACAGATGATAATGATGTCGATGCTGGCAATGGCACAGATAGCGATGACGACGATATGTTTCCAAGTTTGAATACAAGGTCGTCATCGAGTATATTTGTGAAGGTATTATCTAGTTTGACAGATATTCAGAAGCAGGCTGTTCATGAGATGGGGCTCGGATCTCTCTTGGATTTGGGTATAACTTCAACTCCATCGAAAATGGGATTTTGGTTAGTGGACAGATTCAACCACATGGACCGTAAGTTGCAGTTATACGAAGGTGAAAAGGTGCACAAGAAAGAAGGAGACGTGCACGCGGCATTAGGTCTGCCTCGCGGAGAGATTGTAATTAGAAACAAACAGAAGAGAGTCACGTCGGAGTTGTACTATGAGTGGGTTGGGCTATTCAATGTCAGAATACCGTCAAATATCACAGCGTCAAAGGTGGCAGATAAGATCCAGGAGTGTGTAGATGGCGGTGATTGGTTTAAACGTCACTTTATTGTTCTCATGGTGACATGCCTCTTCGAAAGCTCTTCAAACGGAATGGCAAATTTCCGTTTGGTCCACATGCTTGATGACTTAACAAAAGTTTTCAATATAGATTGGTGCTCGTACATGATTCGATGCCTCGTTGACACAAAGAAGTCGTGGGATGCTGTTGGCAGACAAAAGAAGTATACAGGCCCTTTGTTATTTCTGACGGTTAGTTATTCCGTGTTTATTATTTTGTGTGTTTGTGTGCGTGTTTTCTTCTTTATTGTATTATTTGTATATATTTTCTGTCCGTCCGTTTGACGCATTTCATATATATTTGTTAATGGAATTTGTATGTCCGTTTCTATCAGCCATTTTACGTGGACAAGGTAGTGCTGTCGATGAGATCCGTTGCACGGTTATTTCTGACTTTTCGGTCATGGAGCAACGAACTATTAAAGGCTAGAAAACGAGCAGAGATTTCGTCTGGAGCTTTTGGTAGGGGGTTTGTCGACACAGATGTGTCTACGGTTGTTGGCCACCACCATCAGTGGTTGGATAAAGTCGGTGTTTCGGCCAATGACGGCGAGTCCAAAAACACGATGGAGCATAGCGTACAGGTATATAACAAGTTGTTTATAATTGTATACTGCCAAACAGCATACAACAACAGATTTTTGTGTATATCAATAAACAAGTTGTATAATGTATATCAATCGTAAATTAATGATGAAGTGCATTTTCTGTGTGATACATTTGTCGGTTTTAGATATTTTAGCCAACGCTTGGTATATGACCCCACATATCGGTTTGTCTTTCATATAAGTTGGTTACATTTGTTCATATTGTAACACCCCGCTATATCATGAAAATCAGAGTGCATTTTTCACAAAACATTAAATAAAAAGCTAATTAGTTTGCGAAATACTGATTCGGAGTGCTACCGTAAAATAACAAAGTAACCGACTGGAGTCGGATCAAAAGCTGATTTGACAAACTGAAGTAGTCAGCGAAAAAACATAGTGTAGCCAAACCATATTTAAACATATATACAAACTTCGTGAACCGGTCGTCAGCTCACTCCTCGGCTCCGACTTTATGACCTGAAAAACATGAATATGTGGGGGCGTGAGCACTAATCCACTGTGCTCCGCAAAAACTCATACTGAAGTAAACTGTGAAAAATAATAACAATATCATGATCCTAGCATATATAACTGAACTGATACTGAACTGAAACTGATAACTGATACCGGTACTGAATAATCTGATACAGATCTCGTGATAAACATCATTTGACTGATAATTGAACATCTGCCAGCATAAAATGCCGGACACCATGTGCACACTCTAGTGGGCAGATTAAGGCCACTAGAACCCAGAATGGACCGGCGACCATTCCGAGCGGATACTGATAATACATACCTCAAACATGGTAGCGTAATTATAATCAATGTAGTACTCAGTCTGAGTCCTCACCTGAACTGCTGATCTGAAAATATAAGTGCTGCTTGCCTGCAAACTGACATATATAAACTAATGTTAAGTACTATGCTCATACTGATTAAAATAGTTGTTAAGATGCTCGAATCGATCTGAATAGTTAACTGAAACCATCTCGGGTCTAACTGAACTGGTAAGAAAAACAGGACTGAACTGGTACTGCTAAACTGAACTGAACTGACTGCACATGATTGATCATGACTGATTATGACTGAACATGACTGATTATGACTGAATTGACTGAACTGAAAATTTAACTGAAATACTGAACTGAACTGATTAACTGACTAGACTGAAAATATGAACTGATAACTTAACTAATTACACTGAACTGACTGACTGGACTTGGAACTTAACTGAAAATGGAACTTGAACATGAACCAGAACTCAAAACATTAAAATATAAAGTGAACTGGTCTGAGCCGGTCTGGTTGGAACGCCGGCCTGCTGAGGTCGGGATGTCAGCCACTAACTCGGTCCACGGCCTGCCGAGGCCATGGCAAGGGCACTGCTTGTACCCGGTTCCAACAGACGTGAACTAGGCCCAACGGGGCGTGACTTGGGCCGCTACCGAACGCTACGTGCGTCGGCTGCCGCGTGACTGAGCACGGTCGGGTGTTACCGCACACCGTGACGTGCAGCGGGATATATGAGTGCACACACAGGCGCTGGCTGGGCATGACTGGTACCGCGCGGGCGCTGCCGTGCGATTCCCGCGGTAATGGCTACTCGGGCGAGCTGTCCGAGGCCAACTAACGTACGGATATGCGCACTGGCATACCCTACGACACTGGACAGTTGACGACCGTGGTGTACAGGGTCATGCGCCTACATATATCACCTGCGTCGCTGTTGACTGCCGGGGCGCTATAACCGCTATGTGCGGCCAGCGTGGTTACGACTGGCTCTCGCCGGCCGTCTGGCGAATTTATCCGACAATATGAACATGAATTAACATGAGATAGCTTAACTTGATCAAATATATTGAATATACTCAATTTCATGACTTGTTGCCGATGAACCAAAATGGTCGTTGGCGTGCGCCCGTGCGCCGCTTACGATTTCAAGCTATTTCTTCGACCGGACATGACATTCTCTCGACCAACATGATTTAACTGAACATGAACTATTATATAATGATCAAATGAACATGATTTACTCGGGAGTTGTCGGGTAAAAACGAACTTCACTCGGTCACAGCCTAACATGGCCTAAACCGAACGTAATTCAAGTTTTCACGATTCTTATGACATGAACTAATCATGGTGACTCTAAAATGATTATCTTAACAAGAATTAACGAGGAACATGATTTTAACTCTATAAGCTCTCGAAGATTTGAGCAAGTCTCGCATGCTTCCTTGTCCCGTGTGTGCGTGCGGTAATTCTCGGCGATGCTCGCGGCTAGCTTCTCCACTTATGTAAACTCTCTCTTACTTTCTAAACTTAGTACTATTTAAGGAACATTTAGGGTGCTGAAAATGCTCCTACTATTATTATATAATGACGGCCAAAATGAATTGAATAGGGGGAAAATTCACATTAAGAGGTGGCTTTACTAATCTCATGCCATTTGTCAACTAATGGAGACTTAAGGGTGCTTACTCATAATGAAGCTAGATTACTCATCACTTAGCATCCTCATTAGTTGACACCTCAAACCTTAGGGAAAATTAGAGTTTTCCCCCATGAATAATCTAAAGAAATGCCCACTAAAGCTACGACTTTTCTAAAAAAAATGATACAAAATTACTTGATTTTACAATTAAAAATGCACACGGCATTTTTAAGCAAAATGGCCAACTTATTTATAATGCACACGACATTAATTAGCTTAAACATGATAAATCTCAATTAAGCATAATCTATATGCTTAATTAATTAACTTACATGATACTTAATTACCAAAATTATTCCGAACATGAACATGACTTCGAAAATAACTTCGAAGAATCTTGACTGGAATAATTAGTTCCGAACATAAACGTGACTTCAAAAATAATTTTGGATATTTCTGACTTGGACGAATCCGAATATTGATATTTCGAATAATTCATCAACTTAACTTATTAATTCTAAACTTATTAATTAAATAAACGAACCAGAATTAAATCTGGAAACTTATCCGGTTACTGAAATAATTAACCGAATAATTTATCGACTAATAGTCGTACTTGGAATATAACTAACTGAATAACTTGAACTTTAACATGAACATGATTATTTATTAACAAAGGCTAGCTTAAAATTAAAAGCTAGTATTTTCCTTTATTAATAAAACTCGGGGTGTTACAATCCACCCTCCTTAAAATATTTCCGTTCTCGGAAATACTAAAACTGGACGTACAAGCTTAACATAAAGCTTTTACTTACTGATTTCATGACTAGAGAATTCAGTACTTTAATACTGAATAATGGATTTGATCTGAACTGAGGAATCATCAATTCACAATTAAGTGAATTGTTAGATACTGCTGACTGAGAATGGACACTTTCCTGAAATAAAGTGTTCCACTGATTATACATGATATTAAAAACATGCTTCTTGAGCATAATGGTCCTTATTTCTTGGCTGATTGCTGATCTTCGGTCTGAACGTTAGTTGTGGAAAACCCCAGTCGTTGGTACACACGGAAGATTCCAGAGATACGCATGTATACAAATGAGGATACTAGCAATATCGGTAGTTACCTTTCATGAACGTCTGATCGATAACGCAGCACATCGTTTGCAGCACATTGTAATGCGGCACACCTGCTCCTCAACAAGTGAGTGCGGCACGCCTGCATACAGCACCTGGCGAACATTGCACCTGCGTCGTCGACGTAGTTCGATCGTATCTGTATCTCCAGCTAGTAATCTCAATGTACTATAATGCTAACTCTCTGTAGTCCAATGTGTACTATAACTCAGGCATGACATCCTTCTCTTCTTGCGTCATGCATCCTTGGATGAAAAGCTTCAGTTGGTCATCATGGCATGGTCTGTTGCTGTTGATTGGTGCTTCTTCGTCGCGTTATATGTCAACATGTGATACCTGCAACTGCTTACCTTCCCTTAGGTCGACTTAACCTTAAGAAAAGTCTATCATGAATTAATATCTTCTACGATTTCTCAAATTTTTCAGAATTTGAGAATCGAGGCACTGATTATACTTGAAATGACTGATATGTCTTGTCTTATTAGACAAGCTATCTTTGACTTTGGCATAACTAGCCTGAATATTCTCATAACTGGATAACCATGACTTGACTTTTACATGACTGAATCATCTTTACTTGAACTCTGAAAGCTATCCCGAGACAACTAAATAGTCACCTCGAAATTTGGAACATGACATTTACTGATTTACTTGACTTGATAAGGTGCGACTTCAAGTTTCCAGGTAGAATTGGATTAATAGTCTGTATTGCAGACCTCTATATTTAACCCGACTGAACAACTATTATACGTCGACCTTAAATCATGAACTTTAACGTTAAATCTTGAGCATTGACTCATGACTATGTACTGTATAGGGCTGTTCCAGTATCAACTGGTCCCGCAAGTACAAAGGAATTAGCTGATCTTGATCTTTGAAAACCTTAACTTGAAGTATCCTGACTGACAAAATACATGACATGACTGACTTTAAAGGTTGTGATTATATGAAATCATACTGCTCCGATCCCAGCTTCAAGCCTCCATGGTATACCCGGCTGAGTGGCTCTTATTTCAAGTCTCCATGGTAACCCAGACTATTGGCTCTTATACACTAAACCGTTACCTTGACAATAACTTGGAAATTATAACAACCTTTAGTAGAAAGATTTTCTCCTTGAACATGATTTACTGACCTGACTGAAGAAATTTGAGCTTATTCCCTGATCTAACTCAAGGAATTCTTTCTTAGAATGAGCCAATTGGTTTGCAAAATGGGCAATTTTTGATAGAAAATGTCTGAGGAACATGATTGCTAAGATTTGTATAACATAAGTGCTTACAAATCTCTTGACGAGTCGTAAACTCGACCTGAATAAATCTAGAATTTAATCTAGAGTTCTCAAATTTAGCCCCTTTCTAAGGTTCTGAATTCTGATTCGAGCATCCTTACTGATGACATCATACTGAGTATAGACATAGTAATTCGAAACTGATCAATAAGGCACACTTATCTCTTGACAAGTTGCTAAACATGACTGGGAAATACTGACATTAAATCCTGAGTATACTGACTACTGATCCTGAACATGATTCGGGCATTTTAACTAAGTCATAACTTAGTATTTCTGAGCATAGACATAGTAATTTGTTTATAATTTAAAAACATGAATCAGCACTTACCTGTAGTCGGCGAGGCGTGAGCGTGACGTGTTCAGGTTTTTGAAAAATTTATGACTCGTAAAAATTTTCAGAGACGCAGAAACGTGCTCTGATACCATCTGTATCACCCCGCTATTTCATGAAAATCTGAGTGCGTTTTTCGCAAAACTTTAAATAAAATGCTAATTAGTTTGTGAAATACTGATTCGGAGTGCTACCGTAAAATCTGACTGTATCTGAAAACCGTTATTTTAGTTTAATAACAAAATGGTAATAAAACATAGTAACCGACTGGAGTCGGATCAAAAGCTGGTTTGAAAAACTGAAGTAGTCAGCGAAAAAACATAGTGTAGCCAAACCATATTTAAACATATATACAAACTTCCTGAACCGGTCGTCAGCTCACTCCTCGGCTCCGACTTTATGACCTGAAAAACATGAATAATGTGGGGGCGTGAGCACTAATCCACTGTGCTCCGCAGAAACTCATACTGAAGTAAACTGTGAAAATAATAACGATATCATGATCCTGGCATATATAACTGAACTGATACTGAACTGAAACTGATAACTGATACCGGTACTGAATAATCTGATACTGATCTCGTGATAAACATCACCTGACTTATAACTGAACATCTGCCAGCATAATATGCCGGACACCATGTGCACACTCTAGTGGGCAGACCACTAGAACCCAGAATGGACCAGCGACCATTCCGAGCGGATACTGATAATACATACCTCAAACATAGTAGCGTAATTATAATCAATGTAGTACTCAGTCTGAGTCCCCACCTGAACTGCTGATCTGAAAATGTAAGTGCTGATTGCCTGCAAACTGACATATATAAACAAATGCTAAGTACTATGTTCAGACTGATTAAAATAGTTGTTAAGATGCTCGAATCGATCTGAATAGTTAACTGAAACCATCTCGAGTCTAACTGAACTGGTAAGAAAAACTGGACTGAACTGGTACTGCTAAACTGAACTGAACTGACTGAACATGATTGATCATGACTGAACATGACTGATTATGACTGAACATGACTGATTATGACTGAACTGACTGAATTGAAAATTTAACTGAAATACTGAACTGAATTGACTAACTGACTAGACTGAACTGATAACTTAACTAATTACACTGAACTGACTGACTGGACTTGGAACTTAACTGAAAATGGAACTTGAACAAGAACCGAAACTGTAACGCCCCGTCCGATTTATAGAATTTTTTGGAATATTCTATTTATCGAATATTATTTATAAGGTTATATTTATTTTATTAGTCGTGATGTCGACTTAAATAAAAGGTGGCAGTACTCGATCGTTTTATTGAAAAATGCTCGTTGTTCGGCGATTTCGATTTAATCGCGTAGTTTCGGATTTAACCCGTTCGATTATTTGATTTATTTTCGGATATTATCATTATTGTTCTATTATTAATATTATTATTCTATTATTTGTTTAATTGATTAATTGCCTATTATTTAAATAAATATTATTGTGATATATGTATATTTATGTGAGCCGGTTACTTGTGTTATTTTATTTTTTCGATCGCTTTGCGAGAGAACCGACTCGAGCCATAAGTCGCCCGAGCCATGTGCTTACCCGATTTCCTCTTCTTTAATTGCGTGATAGCTAAGTTAGGAAGATTGGTAACCCTAATGTTATATATATATGTATATATATAAAATCTCCCCCTCAGTTCTCTTCTACGCAAATCCCAGCAGCCTTTTTATATTTTCTACTCGCGACCCCTCATCAAACAGAGAACTCGCCATCATCTCTCTCGCCTCTTCCTTTTCAAATTCTATCAAACGCTATCAGCCTCGATCTCATCTCGCTCGGAAGCAACAACCGTCCTCCCCCACGAGCAGTAACCAGACCATCTCCTCCGGCAAGAATTTTCCCCTTCCAGCAGGCCGCACGACCATCGTTCCTCCACCATCATCGACCCCGCGCCATCACCATCGAAGCAGCACCTTCGGCGAGCTTCAGCCCCTGCGCCGGTAAGCCCCCGCGTCCCAGCTCGCGAGCATCGCCTTCAATCGCTAACCGCACGCGAGAAGCCAGGCCACCCATAGGCCAACGATCGAGCCGCTGTTTGCCGTGACCAGACCCTGCGAGCAGCAACGTCCTCAGCCGAGAGCCGTCCACGAGTCTGCATCCATTACGAAGAACCCCGCGATCCCCACATCGGGCGAGCCGCAGACTGTAAATCTTTTCGGCAGCAACTGCTCGTCATCGAAAGCCCATTTCTGTCTGATCGAGGACAGCAGCCACGAGCCGAATAGGGTGTCGGGCAGCACCAAGAAAGCCGAGCCCTATCCTAAGCAAAGCTGGGAGGATCGAGCCCCTTTCTTTCTCTGTTTTCACGGTAAATTGGCTGAGCCATATGACATTCTTTTGGCCGAGTTTGATGTGTTTTTAATGCGCTTAGTTTCAGTTTGTTTTTAGAGTTTAAAAGCATGATTAGAAGGCTGGAAGTATGGAATGTGAGAAATCATGCTTATTTTGGTTTTTATTGGTACTTATTTGCCTTGTTGTATTAAAAGAATTTGGGATGATATTATATACCATATTGACGTTGAAAAGTGTTTCTATGATGCTGAGCGTGGATTAAAAAAAAAAAAGAACTCCCAGCCTAGAGTGTTATCTTAAAGACATGCCTACGTGTTAAGGAATATTGGAAGTGAAAGCATGTTATATAGCCTTGTTTATGTGTGTTCTCGATATTTAAACGACATGTTGAATTGATTCGGTAGTATTATATGTAGTGTTGGTAGATAAATGTGATGTCATAATCGAGCATGTTAACCGAGAACCCCCTACGCCTGTCTCGTTTATGTTCGTGTTATGTACTATCGTAAATTATCATGTATATCAATGCAAGATACGTAATAATTCAAGCGAACTATTAAATGCTATTTTTCTATCGTGTTTAATAAGACCGAGTTGGACCTCGGACAACGTGTTTTCAATGTATCGTATGTTTAGGTCCTAAAATTGATGATATCGAGGCTTGCTTAACATATGATTTACGTGTTTTGGATGCTAAGTTCATGAATTTAGTGTGATTTTGCTGCTTCTGTTGCACTGCTGATATACCCATGAAATAATCGTTTTATGAAAATCTGGTCTTCACATGACATGTAGCTTATTCTGCTCTCTTTAAGTGAGCTTTGGAATCAGTTGATTTCGATTTGAAACGTATAAGCTATGATTTTTACAATATCATTGCGCGAGCAATTTTTATGAAGACCCGACAGCATGTGCTCACTTTATGTTTAACCCGGTTATCATGTGTTAATGTGTTTAAAAAAAAAAGTTATCATCATAAGAATTGTAGTATTTTGAGTTAGCTTTCTATGAGTTTTAGAATTTCGAGATTCAGAGTTGATTTGAATTTATTATGAATTTTTTAAGTTGTCCATGCAAGCAGTTTTTGTAATTCCGGGCAGATTTGAGGAATATGATATTGGGCTGATTTTGATGATCTTAATGTGGCAATATGAAAGTGTAATCATCATAAAACTTGTAGTACTTGTTATAAGCTTTTACTAGAAGTTGAATTCATACAATTTAGGGGGGTGTATTTAATTGGGATTTATAAAGACTTTTAAAAACTTTTTAGGACTTTAGAAATCTTGGTGTATTTAATTTAGATTTCTCAAGACTTTTAAAAGTCTTGAGGTATTCAATTAGGAATTTAAAAAGTCTTACGAAATTCAGGTGTATTTAACTAATTTAAGGTTAGGATTTATAAGGACTTTTTAAGATTTGCTGGGATTTCTAAAGAAAAAAACATGTAGGAAATCCCACTACAAATCTCACCTTTAGACTTGTTATTTTATAGGATTCTTTTAAAATCTGAAAATCCTCAAAAATCTTAAATCTTAAAAAGTCTTTAAATGTCACTCGAATTCCGAAACGAATACACCCCCCTTAGAGTTTAGGTTTATTTTATATGATTTTTCAAAGATGGGGTTATGCCCAGAATTTTTAAAACAATGGTTGTGTATATGATTGAAATGTATGCTCTGAAATAAGGCCCTTAACGTGATTATTTTTAAAAATATTCTTCTTGAAACTTGTAGCATTCTAAGTATAGATTCTGTAGGTTTTGAGTTTGCATGATTTTAATTTTTATAACATGAGATATTGCTGTTTGAGTGACCTGTTGTAAATTAATAAATAGTTGCGTTGGCAGATTTCTTGGCCTATGTGTTTTATGCTTAAACTCGGTTTTAAAGTCATTGTTGGATTATGTGATCAACATGAAAATTGTGTATATATGTGTTAGCTACTCATTGGTTTTGGAATCGCCTGAATAGCATATATATAACTCATGTTATCTTGGAAATGCTGAGACATACGAGTTGTTCATTTTCATTTTTGAACTACAGTTATGTTTTGTGTCGTTGTTGAACTATGTGGCTAATTTATATCGCATGAGTATAGATAAGTGATCGTGTGTTGGATAGTCTTTCATAGGACTATTTTGTGTAATGTAGGTGTGTGACGAGCTATGTCTCGGCCTACCTTTTTCCCTCAAATTACTGTGATTTTGTCCTACGGATACCAGGTGGGTTGTAATTGTAAAATTTGCTATGCTTTAATTAATTGTTTTTGCTGTTGTATGATCAAAGTATGCATGTGAACCATGTAGCCTTCGGTGAGCTATATTGGCCGTCCAACGGTTATCCCCGTAGCTATAGAACGTACCTTCGGGTAGTCTCCTTTATTATTGTTGACAGTCAGGGCGTGAGCCTTGGCTGGTGATCCTCGTATGTAAGGCCAAGGCGAAAGTTTTGGCATTCGGGGTGGATTATTGCTCCTGCTGGTCGGGCACTCGTTGTAAGGCCTTCGAGGAAGGCGTTCGGTATATAGCTCGGCAGTAGTCTATTGTTATAGGTGTGCACATGAGACCATTATTGATTATTGATAGGAGATGGGACGGTTATTGATTCGTATACCTGCTGCGACCATACTTAAATTGTTTTCATGATTATTGAGATTAATTATTGCATAGCGGTGAGCACCTCGACTTTCCTATTGTGCTCATCCCCACCCGCTCTTCATGGATGCAGGTTAGTTTATGCGGCACGACGGAAGGGATGCGAGTGGTGGTCTTTAATTTGAATAAATGCTTCTGCTTTGAGCTGAACTTGGATATTATTGCATTATTATTGATTATTATTTTCTAGTATTGGAGTAGTGGATTATTGATGGAGATTATTTCCCTAGATCATTATTGGATTATTATTGCATTACTGGGATTTTATTATTGATTATGAGTATTGATTATTGCCGAGTATTGAGAATATGTTGAGTATTGATTATTGTTTTGAAAATGAGTAGCGCCTCAAATATTGTTTTTGAAATAAATATAATTATTTACCCCGAATTTTGGTAATTAAAAGTGGGGCGTTACAGGAACTCAAAACATTAAAATATAAAGTGAACTGGTCTGAGCCGGTCTGGTTGGACCGCCGGCCTGCTGAGGTCGGGCGGTCGGCCACTAACTCGGTCCACGGCCTGCCGAGGCCATGGCAAGGGCACTGCTTGTACCTGGTTCCAACGGATGTGAACTAGGCCCAACGGGGCGTGACTTGGGCCGCTGCCGAACGCTACGTGCGTCGGCTGTCGTGTGACTGAGCACGGTCGGGTGTTACCGCACACCGTGACGTGCACCGGGAGATATGAGTGCGCACACAGGCGCTGGCTGGGCATGACTGGTACCGCGCGGGCGCTGCCGTGCGATTCCCGCGGTACTGGCTACTCGGGCGAGCTGTCCGAGGCCAACTGACGTACGGATATGCGCACTGGCGTACCCTACGACACTGGCCAGTTGACGACCGTGGTGTACAGGGTCAT